GTTAGAAATCAGATACTTTGCTCTGAATTCAGACTGAGAGGTTAAACCATCCATTTTCTATTCCTGCTGTTGATTCCAGGTCTGTAGAGATCCTGCTGCCTTTCTCCAGAGAAACACTTTAAACCTTTCAGACTTTATAATAATTTATCTAAAATGTTATTTTATTTCTATTTAAAATAAAGTCATTCTTAGGTTACTTTATAATCTTCAATTCCTTTAATGTACATGTTTGGATCTAAAGAAGGCTGATGGGATGGACTCCATCACTGGTTTCTTTTTTTTAAGTTGTCATTGAGCAAAGAGACCAGCAGAGGGCGTTGCTGTCAGCCTCCATAATCTGACTTGTCTTGGGTTAATATTTAAAATGATTTGAAATACTGTTTTTTTTAAATTATTATTATTAATTAATTCTATACCCATCAATGAAAACTTTACTGAAAGTGTAAAAATTTATTTTTTTTCTACCTCAGTTTTCAATTTTGAATATTTTGGGTCAGTTTTTTGTGTTCTCTGTGTTTCCATCGATAGGTGAGATGCTAAGCTTTAAGATTTAGTTTTTATTATTGTTGATCGTTTAGGTGCTTCAGGTTGATGTAAATTAAAGGGATGAATGTCAGTGGAATAGTGAAGCTTCATGTCTGAAATGGTTGAAGTTCGGCTTCTGGGTTTTATTTATTTTATCCACAGAGTAAAAGTTAACTCGAAGGTTGGAGTGAGTGAGATTATTCCACTGCACTGAAGGATGGATCTATCTTAAGGTTTTTATATGTTCACCAGTCACGGCAGTAAACGGATCAGCCAGACTGGACCCTCAGTCTACTGGTCTTACTGGTTCTGTTCAGTAACAGGAGAGACAGAAAGAGGCTCCCAGAATACAGACGGTGTCAGCTGATAGGCATTTCCCATCATGCAACTGGTGCAACATGTTGGTTATCACACAGACACGTGTTCATGTGTGTTTGGTTGACTAACTGGTCTGTGATCCTGACCAGTATAAACATTTCCTCATGAGTCTATAATGAGAGTTTAGAAAAGTTCAGTGGTTTGTTCTGATTGGTTGAAAGTGTTTTTGTTCCTTTTGAACCGTTTAACATTTTATAGTTTGGATTTTAAGAAGTCTGTTAAAACAGTTTAGGTTAATTAGTAAATGATCGAAGTGACGTTATTTGATGAATAAAAAAGGGCTTTATTCCCCTTTTTCTCTCTGTTACCCATTAATAACTAGTAAACTTTGTTTTCAGGGAACGTGTCGTTTTTTTTACAACTTGTCCAACTTAATTTGGACATTTTCAGTTCAATACTCTGGAAACACGTTTTGTTTTGTAAAAAGCAATCCCAAAAATCTGTTCTGGTTCTGTAGAAATGTCTCAGCAGCAGTAAAAACTGGCTGTAAT